TTGTGAGAAGAGACCAGCATACAACACTCCACAACCTCCCTTCAGGTAGTTGTATAGAGTGAGAAGGTCTCCACTAAGCCTCCTTCTCTCCAGGCCCCTTCTTTTTTTTTTCAGGTGGGGTCGGGGGGGTTGAGGCTTGCTGTGGCTTAAGGAGCTTCTTTTCTTTGTGTGTAACCTCTGATATTTGAGTAGATGGACCCGACATGGGATCTGGCTTCCTTCCCTCTCCCGCTTCTCACTCACTCTGTCCTGGTGGATCCCAAGTGTGCCCACGCAGTGACTGCAGGTGATGACAGCACAACCAAGCGCTGCAGTGATGCTGGTGTGTTACCAAGTTTCCTGAGGAACTCAGACAAGAGAAAAGAAAGTGCACTTTTTAGCACTTCATAAATCAGCTAAATCAATTTGGTACTTGCCAAGACACGGGTCCTTCTGTGTAAATACTATGTACTGCAAGTAATCTGTATTCTGGTGCTTCTCATAGAAACTAGTAATAATTGTTCAGTGAAAAGTGTTCTGCAACTAAGTGTATCAATTCTGCTATGACATGCCTTCCAAATATGAGATGTAAAAGCTAATTATAGAATTTTTAATTAAAAGAACAAGGTATTTAAATGTATTTGAATTTTTTCATAATATCCAATATAGCATTTCAAATAATAAATTTTATTGAAAAATTAAAGCAGACTGGATAAAAATCTAATGATATAAGCTAGGAAGTGTCTGGAGGACTAAGAAAAAGGGAGTGGTACCTTACAGAGCTGCTGATAAAATTCTAACAGGGTATCAGAATTTGGAAGGAGTCTGTCACAGAGCACTCTATTCCGTTTACGTTGTCTATTGAGCTTATTTGTTACCTAGATGCACCTGGCAAGGTTTCATAATTCAGACCTTTAAGAAGCAAGTTGGGTTGGAAATGTAATTTTCTAACAACTATGCAGAACCACAGTTCTCAAAAGGTCTAACAGCAAGTTCCAGAATCAGACACCATACATACACAGCACACTTCATGACACAATAGCTCTACACAGAAATCAAACTTAATGAGGAGCGAAAGCTCCATTAAGAGATACAGAAAACTACAGTCCTAGAATAGACCACAAAAATAAGTGCTGAAAAAGGTTATTAAATTGGAGGGCATCTTCAACATTGAAGGGTGAAAAACTGAAACAACAGCCTGAGTAATTAGACATTGTACTATTTCATAGTATTCCTACCACAAAATGAATAGTGTCCCATGTGAGATGAAGACTTCACTCTTCCTCACTATCAAGCCATCCTGAAGTGAGAGTTTGTAAAAAGCAAATGAGTTTCTTTTGTCCCAATGACAACACTAAGATGGTTCTGGTTTGGCATGAAGAAGAGGTGGACACAGCTGAAGAACAGAAGTATTCCCATATCCACAATGAACAATACTAGAAATCCTGCTGCTCTGCAAAGCCACTATGCGAACCATGGAGGATAAAAACCCTGACATTATTTCTAGTTTAAATTATTGCCTATTCAATGGAGGTTGCTGTTTGAAATATCTCCGTGGATTTGAGTTAATCTAGTGGGAACATGTGATGCTGTGAGAGTATGGCTATAACATGACCTACCCTGTCGTGTCACAAGCAGCTTATTTCATTAACAAAGCTGAAGGGGAAGCAAACAGGCAGACAGAACACATGAAAATTACAAATAGCGATTAGGAGGGTTGCTAACATTATTTGGGACAGAGAAACGGAATGATACAGACATTAAAATAGTCTATGGAAATAAAATGGAATTTAAAGAAAAAATTCACACTAAATTCTAACGAGAAACTTGGGAAATAGCAATAGTGAAAGATACCTTAGGAAACTGGGAAAAGCCAGGTGATAGAAAATTTGCAAGTGGTCATGATTATAAAAACACTGGTGTAATTTTGAACTGGATATACAAAGACTTTATATCACAGCAGAACCCAGAATTTCTTCTCTCCAGACGTGGCTTTTGTGTGGCTTGGAGTATTTTATTCATTCTGAGCATGCTTTTTTCAGAAAAATGCTGACAAATAAGATGTTCCAGAGAACAATGATTTTTTTTTTTCATGGACTAGAGAACTTTGATGAAGGAATAAACAAATATGTATATATTGTCAGATTAAGTCAAAACGAGTATCTGCCTCAATATTTTTAAAAACAATATATAAATACTGAAGAGTATAATCAGCAAGAACCAAAAGGAGCATCCATAATTTTGCAGAGCACTGGAAATTAAGGAAGACTGGATGGAAACATCTGTCTGGTTTTACATTATGGAAAAGAGCTCTTCTATGCTTCTTTTAAAGTCTCATCTTAAAATGTCAAGGCTGACAGCTATCTGCAGTGTGGCTGAATTACTTGTGAATGCACATAGTGACTCAGCTCGAGGTTGTCCAGCACAATAAGTTGACTTCTGTTGCTGCTATCTAAGTACATCAAGTTAGTTTTATAGTGGGACAAATAAGACTTGTAAGCCACTTTAGGGATGAAGGATAAGAAAAGAGTTAAAAGGCTCTGGTCAGGAGCAGACAAGGGAATCTTTCGGATGTAGTTATGCAAAAGAGTAACTGTAAGCACAGAGAAGAGAGAAAACTGTGCAGAGCACCTGTATACATGATATTCTTCCTTTCTCTTTTGTATTAACTAACAGCAATAAAGAAAATGTACTTCTATCACAGAAGGATACCTAATGATCAGCAAAATGCTGCCACATTATTTAACTTTTTTTCCATGAAAGTCAATGTATATTATCATGAACATTCTGTAAGAACTGTAACTGTCTACCACTCAAGTACTGTAGTTCCAAGGAAAAATATTTGCATCTGGAAATAGAAAACAGAAGCTCCCTAAATAACTCAATTTGGGCCATATATAAATCCCTGATCTTGGTTCAGCAACAGACACTTCTAAAATCAATAAGCAGACTGTACAAGCATTTCCAGAATGGATTTAAAGACTACCCCCATAAAGTACAGGCATGTGGTAGTGTCTAAAAAATTAAGTCTATACTTTGGCTTTAGTCCAAATGCAAATTACCATAACAGATTAAGAATTACAGCATTCACTAATAACATCTACAACATAGTTTCCTTCAAATTCAGCCATCCAACCCTACCATAAGAACAAATCTTACCATTGTCATTTGGTAATAAAAACTAGGATTCAATCTCTCCACCACAATTTAAGTTTAGTCCTGTAAGTTGATGCAACTTAAATGAGTGAAAAATGAGAAAATACTGTCCTACATAGGTTCATCTTAAGTATGGGAATAATTCCACAGTCAGAACATTGAAGTCTATTACAAGCAACCAAAGTCCTATCACATTTTAAAGCAATGCATTTTTTTCTTCAGTACAAGTTATTAATGATTTTTGTATCCACACCTTTTTATCACATAGTCTAAAGACACTTCAACAACTCAGATAATTTTTAAACTGGCTCACTGTAACATCAAAACTGATCAAAAAAAATCATCACCACCTGTCTTAATTAGTTTAAGTAACTGCAGTGCAGGAATGGAAGGAAAATACTAGACATTTATGTGTGGAGTTCTCATTTATTTCTTGTCCCAAAGACTGCTTGAGAATCTGTGGATAGCTTTCGGCACTGCCTGCAATGCTTCCTTCTGTGCTACTGCCTAGGCTCAACCCTGCATAAAGGTGATAAACTAGGAGAACTGAAGCAGAAATTCTGCCCTCCTTTTACACAGTGCTGAGAATACAACCCTCAAAACCATTAAGTTAGTTTGCAAGTAAGAGATCAATTTAACCAACACACTTCCCACTTTTGTTTTGCTTCAGCACAGCGAATCACCTGCAAATTCAGCTTCTTTAACTAGCACACTGTGGTCATCTTACACTGCTCCCATTTTCTGACACATAGATCCTTAGGTTTTAGTTACTCAAGGTTTCTACTATATAACATAAAAAACATCAGAAGTAACATACAGGAGCATTTTCTTTATGTTTGTTTAGTTACACAAATGTAATACAATAAACTAAAAATACTTTTAGATTCCTAACAGAAAGATGTTAAACTGCAGCCATGGTTGACAAAAGACATTTGTAAGTAAAAAGCATTGCAGACATGTTATAATGAGCTCAAATCAACTCTGAGTTGAGAGTCAAAGCAATTGAAAACTTACATGAGTACTTGAGAGAAACCTAAATATGTCAAATTATGGAAATAAACACTTCAGGCAATCAATCTTAATTCTGCCCTTTAGTGAACATAAGCAAATTTTTAAAAGTGTGTGATTTTAAAAGTTCACATTACTCTAATTTGGAACCATAAATACCAAAATACTTAAGCAATCACACAGTCATTTCATATTGCAGCTCATGGCTATGAGGTTATGAGGTTAAGATTCCTCCTTTGCTTTTTTTTTTCCTCCTTACCTTAGCACCATATAAGTGGATGTAACCCGATTTCATGTGCAACCTTTACGAGTGCAGGTTACCTCCAACTCTGTGCCTGTTTTGCTTTATTTGACAATGCAGTGCCAAGCGAACCAATAGCAGAATTTTACCCCCCTACTATCTTCCTCTCACACCCTAACCTATAACACAGTAGTTGTAAATGCAGTAGCCTTCAAGGGAGAATTAAAGGACCTTTCTTATCCCAGTTTTCCTTGTGCAGGACACAACACAAGCCACAGAAGTTTTTGCTTAGTGGTGTTGTACAGCAGTGCTAAGGAAAATTACACCAAAAAGTTCTTATAGTCTTGTTTTGTAAGGGGACTGCAAATCCATTATTCTATCCCACGTATCAGTTCAAAAACTGTTTTGGGTCAGAACCCAAGGTCAGAGTAATTCTCTTTTGCTATATTCCTTATTGTTTTTTTTCTCCTTCCAAGTTGCGTATCACTTGACCCGTCCAGAGATACTGCAAAGTAAAGTTACAGAGGAAATGTAAAAAAAAATATCACCTCCCTCCCCCAGGCAGATTAATTTCTACACCAAAGGACAGAGGTTTCTTATTCCAGGACTCTCTCACCTCTGGAGTGACATCTCGTGGTGCAAACCCTGTTCCTCCAGTTGTTAATATCAAATTAAGTTCCTTTTCGTCACACCAATCTATCAGCGTCTCCTGAAAGAGAACATGAATCCTGTCAGATCTAGGAAGTAATCCGTGGGATAGTTATCTCAGAATAACCACCGAAGACTTGAAATGTCTTAAAAACAGAGACAGGCACAAGAAATACAAGGAATTGCAAAATCACTCATGGCTTTTATACCAAGATTTTAAACCACTCCTTATAACCAACATATGATAGAATAATTCAAATATCCATCATAATATTTTTGGAAATGGAAACTGAAATTTTGTTCCCCATCTTTTGACCTGAAGTGGAAAACAAGAATTCACAGCTATTCATTTATATCACTGTTTATTTTGGTTTTGAGAAATCAATACAATGCTTTGAAACACATTAAAGAGTATGTGGATTTAATTCATATTACATGGTTGATTCTTATTACAATAACTTTGGCTTTTGTGCTCCACTTTTTAATAGCCTGAAAAAAGGCAAGAACCTCATATTTGTAATCTTATCTACTAAAAGATGCAGTAAAATACCAGATGCAGCAACACAAAAGATTACCTATAAACATCTTTTCTACATTTCCTACTACATTTCAGTAGGA